GTGCTCTACTCTGGGCCTGTTTCACCCCACACTTAATAGGTCTGACTGCAGCTCTGTATAATTACAAATACTATGTCAGGGACTCCACGATGTACAGAACTCTACTCTGGCATGCAGTGTTGGGTAAGATTACCTTACTGCTCATCTGTCATGAAGATATTCAGTCAAAATGTTAGCAGAGCTCACTTAGCTTCCCACTGTCCCTGGTTCTCTTTAAGCCTCTTCCAGATCACCTTCAATCTTGACATCAGTTTTGGTCATCTTTGCCATGTTGGGACTTCTCAGTGTCATCCTGGTGGCAAAGAATGGGCCCTGTTGGCAGTGGCTAACCACTTTCTTACCAAAAACTCTGTTGTTCAGCAATCCTATTATTGTTGTTGTTGTTGTTGTTTTCTGCTGTATCCTCTTGACCCTTCTGAATCATTACCACCCTTGTCAAGGCCAGCATGCTGGCAGCAGACACAGACAGGGTTTTCAGAAGGATCCGAAGTGCATATACATAGCCAGGGACAAACAATAGGCCAGATCCTGTTCTATGTAGTGGGTGTCTATGTTGACATAGGTACCAAAATACAATTCTATTGTACTCTGTTAAAGCCCCTGAAAATCCATTCATGCATCTATTTTTGTAACATGTCACCATCCTACCCTTTACACTAAGTCATAAAAAACAGCAGGGAGGAGAACTGTAACAAGTTAGGAGCCTGAGGGCCATTATGATGCCCCCTGCAGGCCTTCTCATCCCTGCTAGGCTCTCTCTCTGCCCTATCTCTCAAAGTCTCACCTTGCCTTCTCACCTGCCATGTTCTGATGGAAATTTTATGAAAGGGAATCTGCCCTCAGAGACTGATGAGCCTAAAGTATTCTCTCCTCTCTCTGGCAGTCAACTCTCCCAACCTAGCCTGCCTTAAGGGCTAATTGCATGGCTCCATCCACCCCTACAGCATTTCCCATGCCTTGCAGGTGTTTTGAGTCACCAATCAGGTGGGGCACTTGTCCCTAAGTCTCCAGGCCACCTCAGTCCTTCCTTCCCTTGTTGGGATTTCAGCCTTCTTAGCTTCTGCCCCATTCACTGGCTGGTCCCTTAGTCAAAGGCCACTGTTTTAGACCTGGTTTCTGGACCCCAATCCCACCCCTATTACGGCTCTGGGCCCTGTGGCCCCCATGCTCTTCCCCAATCTGGGCTTTAGACTCTGGAGCCCCCATGCTCTGCCACTATCTGGGGTACTGGCTTTCTAAGTAGGCTTTGAGCCTGCCCTCCATAGGGCTCAAGATTAATCCACTTTGGAGCAATTTAAACCAAAAACATCTCAGCCCTCTGGCAGACACCCAAAGCTTCTCTGGGTATAGCATAAAATAAAGGCCACTTACCTGCCTAAACAAGCCTTTCTCTGCCCCAGGTATTCTCCCTTGTTCCCAGGTTTGCAGAGTTGCTTCCTTCCAGCTCCACTGTCAGTTCAGAAGCCCCACTGCTTTGCTGCCAGGAGTGCCTCACTCCATGGCTTTCATGGTTAGACTGCTGAATAGGGCTGTGCGAAATTTCAGTGGGTGTTTCATTTTGAAGCTGTTTTGACACATTTTGAGCTTGAAACAGGAACATCAAAATGAAACAAAAGGCTTCGAAACAGCTTTGAAATGAAATGAGAGCACTCAAAACATTTTGAAAGGTTCAAAACGTTTTGAGTTTCGAAGCCAGGCTTGCTGCAGTGTGGGCCCCCAGATCTGCGCGGGCCCCTGGATCTGCATGCGGGATGACAGCATGCTGCTGCTGCCGGTTGGGGCCAGCAGCAGCACCAGGCTTCCCGGCGCTCGGCATGGGCTGTGCCCAGCACCGGTTCTAGCCGGCAGCAGCAGCCTATTGTCACCCCATAGGCAGATACAGGGGCATGTGCCCCCAAGAAGGCGTCTGGCACAGCCCCACAGTCCTCCTGGGGGCTGCGGGCTCCCAGAACTGCGTGCAGGATGACAGCAGGCTGCTGCTGCCGGCAAGTGATACAAATTTTGCTTGTCAGCAGTTTGAGGTG